CTGAACCCTGTGGGAGCCTTAGTCTGGCTCTGTGAGTCTCAGTGATTGACACTGAACCCTGTGGGAGCCTCAGTCTGACTCAGTGAGTCTCAGTGATTGACACAGAACCCTGTGGGAGCCTCAGTCTGGCTCAGTGATTAACACTGAACCCTGTGGGAGCCTCAGTCTGGCTCAGTGAGTCTCAGTGATTAACACTGAACCCTGTGGGAGCCTCAGTCTGGCTCTGTGATTAACACTGAACCCTGTGGGAGCCTCAGTCTGGCTCAGTGAGTCTCAGTGATTAACACTGAACCCTGTGGGAGCCTCAGTCTGGCTCTGTGATTAACACTGTACCCTGTGGGAGCCTCAGTCTGGCTCTGTGATTAACACTGAACCCTGTGGGAGCCTCAGTCTGGCTCTGTGAGTCTCAGTGATCAACACTGAACCCTGTGGGAGCCTCAGTCTGGCTCTGTGATTAACACTGAACCCTGTGGGAGCCTCAGTCTGGCTCAGTGAGTCTCAGTGATTAACACTGAACCCTGTGGGAGCCTCAGTCTGGCTCTGTGATTAACACTGAACCCTGTGGGAGCCTCAGTCTGGCTCTGTGAGTCTCAGTGATCAACACTGAACCCTGTGGGAGCCTCAGTCTGGCTCAGTGATTAACACTGAACCCTGTGGGAGCCTCAGTCTGGCTCTGTGATGAGCACTGAACCCTATGGGAGTCTCAGTCTGGCTCAGTGATGAACACTGAGCCCTGTGGGAGCCTCAGTCTGGCTCAGTGATTAACACTGAACCCTGAGGGAGCCTCAGTCTGGCTCTGTGAGTCTCAGTGATTAACACTGAACCCTGTGGGAGCCTCAGTCTGGCTCTGTGAGTCTCAGTGATTAACACTGAACCCTGTGGGAGCCTTAGTCTGGCTCTGTGAGTCTCAGTGATTAACACTGAACCATGTGGGAGCCTCAGTCTGGCTCTGTGAGTCTCAGTGATTAACACTGAACCCTGTGGGAGCCTCAGTCTGGCTCTGTGAGTCTCAGTGATTGACACAGAACCCTGTGGGAGCCTCAGTCTGGCTCAGTGATTAACACTGAACCCTGTGGGAGCCTCAGTCTGGCTCAGTGAGTCTCAGTGATTAACACTGAACCCTGTGGGAGCCTCAGTCTGGCTCTGTGATTAACACTGAACCCTGTGGGAGCCTCAGTCTGGCTCAGTGAGTCTCAGTGATTAACACTGAACCCTGTGGGAGCCTCAGTCTGGCTCTGTGATTAACACTGTACCCTGTGGGAGCCTCAGTCTGGCTCTGTGATTAACACTGAACCCTGTGGGAGCCTCAGTCTGGCTCTGTGAGTCTCAGTGATCAACACTGAACCCTGTGGGAGCCTCAGTCTGGCTCTGTGATTAACACTGAACCCTGTGGGAGCCTCAGTCTGGCTCAGTGAGTCTCAGTGATTAACACTGAACCCTGTGGGAGCCTCAGTCTGGCTCTGTGATTAACACTGAACCCTGTGGGAGCCTCAGTCTGGCTCTGTGAGTCTCAGTGATCAACACTGAACCCTGTGGGAGCCTCAGTCTGGCTCAGTGATTAACACTGAACCCTGTGGGAGCCTCAGTCTGGCTCTGTGATGAGCACTGAACCCTATGGGAGTCTCAGTCTGGCTCAGTGATGAACACTGAGCCCTGTGGGAGCCTCAGTCTGGCTCAGTGATTAACACTGAACCCTGAGGGAGCCTCAGTCTGGCTCTGTGAGTCTCAGTGATTAACACTGAACCCTGTGGGAGCCTCAGTCTGGCTCTGTGAGTCTCAGTGATTAACACTGAACCCTGTGGGAGCCTTAGTCTGGCTCTGTGAGTCTCAGTGATTAACACTGAACCCTGTGGGAGCCTCAGTCTGGCTCTGTGAGTCTCAGTGATTAACACTGAACCCTGTGGGAGCCTCAGTCTGGCTCTGTGAGTCTCATTGATTAACACACGAACCCTGTGGGAGCCTCAGTCTGGCTCTGTGAGTCTCAGTGATTAACACTGAACTCTGTGGGAGCCTCAGTCTGGCTCTGTGAGCCTCAGTGATTAACGCTGTGGGAGCCTCAGTCTGGCTCAGTGATTAACACTGAACCCTGTGGGAGCCTTAGTCTGGCTCTGTGAGTCTCAGTGATTAACACTGAACCCTGTGGGAGCGTCAGTCTGGCTCTGTGAGTCTCAGTGATTGACACTGAACCCTGTGGGAGTCTTAGTCTGGCTCAGTGAGCCTCAGTGATCAACACTGAACCCTGTGGGAGCCTCAGTCTGGCTCTGTGAGTCTCACAGCGATAAACACTGAACCCTGTGGGAGCCTCAGTCTGGCTCTGTGAGTCTCAGTGATTAACACTGAACCCTGTGGGAGCCTCAGTCTGGCTGAGTGAGTCTCAGTGATTAACACTGAACCCTGTGGGAGCCTTAGTCTGGCTCAGTGAGCCTCAGTGATCAACACTGAACCCTGTGGGAGCCTCAGTCTGGCTCAGTGAGTCTCAGTGATTGACACTGAACCCTGTGGGAGCCTCAGTCTAGCTCTGTGAGTCTCAGTGATTGACACTGAACCCTGTGGGAGCCTTAGTCTGGCTCTGTGAGTCTCAGTGATTGACACTGAACCCTGTGGGAGCCTCAGTCTGGCTCAGTGATTAACACTGAACCCTGTGGGAGCCTCAGTCTGGCTCAGTGAGTCTCAGTGATTAACACTGAACCCTGTGGGAGCCTCAGTCTGGCTCTGTGATTAACACTGAACTCTGTGGGAGCCTCAGTCTGGCTCAGTGAGTCTCAGTGATTAACACTGAACCCTGTGGGAGCCTCAGTCTGGCTCTGTGATTAACACTGTACCCTGTGGGAGCCTCAGTCTGGCTCTGTGATTAACACTGAACCCTGTGGGAGCCTCAGTCTGGCTCTGTGAGTCTCAGTGATCAACACTGAACCCTGTGGGAGCCTCAGTCTGGCTCTGTGATTAACACTGAACCCTGTGGGAGCCTCAGTCTGGCTCAGTGAGTCTCAGTGATTAACACTGAACCCTGTGGGAGCCTCAGTCTGGCTCTGTGATTAACACTGAACCCTGTGGGAGCCTCAGTCTGGCTCTGTGATGAGCACTGAACCCTATGGGAGTCTCAGTCTGGCTCAGTGATGAACACTGAGCCCTGTGGGAGCCTCAGTCTGGCTCAGTGATTAACACTGAACACTGAGGGAGCCTCAGTCTGGCTCTGTGAGTCTCAGTGATTAACACTGAACCCTGTGGGAGCCTCAGTCTGGCTCTGTGAGTCTCAGTGATTAACACTGAACCCTGTGGGAGCCTTAGTCTGGCTCTGTGAGTCTCAGTGATTAACACTGAACCCTGTGGGAGCCTCAGTCTGGCTCTGTGAGTCTCAGTGATTAACACTGAACCCTGTGGGAGCCTCAGTCTGGCTCTGTGAGTCTCATTGATTAACACACGAACCCTGTGGGAGCCTCAGTCTGGCTCTGTGAGTCTCAGTGATTAACACTGAACTCTGTGGGAGCCTCAGTCTGGCTCTGTGAGCCTCAGTGATTAACGCTGTGGGAGCCTCAGTCTGGCTCAGTGATTAACACTGAACCCTGTGGGAGCCTCAGTCTGGCTCTGTGATTAACACTGAACCCTGTGGGAGCCTCAGTCTGGCTCTGTGATTAACACTGAACCCTGTGGGAGCCTCAGTCTGGCTCTGTGATTAACACTGAACCCTGTGGGAGCCTCAGTGTGGCTCAGTGAGTCTCAGTGATCAACACTGAACCCTGTGGGAGCCTCAGTCTGGCTCAGTGATTAACACTGAACCCTGTGGGAGCCTCAGTCTGGCTCTGTGATGAGCACTGAACCCTGTGGGAGTCTCAGTCTGGCTCAGTGATGAACACTGAACCCTGTGGGAGCCTCAGTCTGGCTCAGTGATTAACACTGAACCCTGAGGGAGCCTCAGTCTGGCTCTGTGAGTCTCAGTGATTAACACTGAACCCTGTGGGAGCCTCAGTCTGGCTCTGTGAGTCTCAGTGATTAACACTGAACCCTGTGGGAGCCTTAGTCTGGCTCTGTGAGTCTCAGTGATTAACACTGAACCCTGTGGGAGCCTCAGTCTGGCTCTGTGAGTCTCAGTGATTAACACTGAACCCTGTGGGAGCCTCAGTCTGGCTCTGTGAGTCTCATTGATTAACACACGAACCCTGTGGGAGCCTCAGTCTGGCTCTGTGAGTCTCAGTGATTAACACTGAACTCTGTGGGAGCCTCAGTCTGGCTCTGTGAGCCTCAGTGATTAACGCTGTGGGAGCCTCAGTCTGGCTCAGTGATTAACACTGAACCCTGTGGGAGCCTCAGTCTGGCTCTGTGATTAACACTGAACCCTGTGGGAGCCTCAGTCTGGCTCTGTGATTAACACTGAACCCTGTGGGAGCCTCAGTCTGGCTCATTGAGCCTCAGTGATTAACACTGGACCCTGTGGGAGCCTCAGTCTGGCTCAGTGATTAACACTGAACTCTGTGGGAGCCTCAGTCTGGCTCAGTGATTAACACTGAACTCTGTGGGAGCCTCAGTCTGGCTCAGTGATTAACACTGAACCCTGTGGGAGCCTCAGTGTGGCTCTGTGATTAACACTGAACCCTGTAGGAGCCTCAGTGTGGCTCTGTGATTAACACTGAACCCTGTGGGAGCCTCAGTGTGGCTCTGTGATTAACACTGAACCCTGTGGGAGCCTCAGTCTGGCTCTGTGATTAACACTGAACCCCGTGGGAGCCTCAGTCTGGCTCTGTGATTAACACTGAACCCTGTGGGAGCCTCAGTCTGGCTCATTGAGCCTCAGTGATTAACACTGGACCCTGTGGGAGCCTCAGTCTGGCTCAGTGATTAACACTGAACTCTGTGGGAGCCTCAGTCTGGCTCAGTGATTAACACTGAACTCTGTGGGAGCCTCAGTCTGGCTCAGTGATTAACACTGAACCCTGTGGGAGCCTCAGTCTGGCTCAGTGATTAACACTGAACCCTGTGGGAGCCTCAGTCTGGCTCAGTGATTAACACTGAACTCTGTGGGAGCCTCAGTCTGGCTCAGTGATTAACACTGAACTCTGTGGGAGCCTCAGTCTGGCTCAGTGATTAACACTGAACTCTGTGGGAGCCTCAGTCTGGCTCAGTGATTAACACTGAACTCTGTGGGAGCCTCAGTCTGGCTCTGTGATTAACACTGAACCCTGTGGGAGCCTCAGTCTGGCTCAGTGATTAACACTGAACTCTGTGGGAGCCTCAGTCTGGCTCAGTGATTAACACTGAACTCTGTGGGAGCCTCAGTCTGGCTCAGTGATTAACACTGAACCCTGTGGGAGCCTCAGTGTGGCTCTGTGATTAACACTGAACCCTGTGGGAGCCTCAGTCTGGCTCTGTGATTGGCACTGAACCCTGTGGGAGCCTCAGTGTGGCTCTGTGATCAACACTGAACCCTATGGGAGGGAGCCTCAGTCTGGCTCTGTGATCAACACTGAACCCTATGGGAGGGAGCCTCAGTCTGGCTCTGTGATTAACACTGAACCCTGTGGGAGCCTCAGTCTGGCTCTGTGAGCCTCACAGCGATGAAAACTGAACCCCACAGACCTCAATGGGAGTTCCCATCTGAGTTTAAATGCCCCGGCGGTCACGTGACGTCTGTATCCGTGCGCGGGTGATGCGGCTAAATAAATAATTAATCAGCGCCAAACAACGGCCCCCCCCCCCGCGCTCCGCCATTGTTGGGACTACTTTTTTTTGTGGAGATTTTTTTGCGGTTTTTTTTCAATTTTTTAAACAAAAAAAACTTCCGTCGTTCGCGGGGCCAACGCGCGGACGTTCCACTGACGTTGGCGATGTTTAAAATAACGTAAAAATGTAAAAAAAAAAGAAATCACGCGAGATTTTAAAGTGTTGGAGGAAATAATCCCATTGACCGCCGCACTGCTTTTCGTTTCGCGCGGAGGGATTCCGATTTGCAGTTTTTAAGAACCATCCGCCTCTACCTCTTACCCCATTCAAGCCCGTGCATTTCAATGGGGGGGGGAGGGGTGGTTACTCTGCGGGTGGTGATGCGGCTCAGGGTGGTGATGCGGTTCTACCCCCCCCCCCACCGCTCCCCTCCCCCACCACCACTACCACCTCACAAACCGTTATCGTTCGCACGATCCCATTGGTTGCTTCAGTCACGTGCCCCATCGTTGGACCAATCGGGAGTCGCCGTTGTCTTCCCCCCCCACCCGCACATTATTTTCGCGCCTTATTTTGAATCTCATTTACATATCCAGCCCCCCCCCCCCGCCGCTAGTCGCCCCTCCCCCCTCCATTGACTTACATGGTTCCAGAAGGGGCATCCCCCCCCCCACTCACCCCTCCCCCCGTCCCCTTCCCCCGCTCCCCCCTCCCCTCATTCTCTCTATCCACCAATCACAGGCGGCGGTGGCGAATTTCCGGAAGAACCCCCCCCTTCGCCCCTCCCCCCTCCATTGACTAACACGGAGCCAGGAGGGGTATCCCCCCCTCCCCCTATTCCCCCCCCCCACCATCTACCGACCAATCAAACGCGGCGGTTGCGATCTTCCGGAAGATCCCCCCCCTCCCCAACCGCGCCCCTCCCCCTCCCGTTGACTTACACGTAGCCCACCCCACCCCCCCCCTTTACTTCCGCACTACCGACCAATCAAACGCGGCGGTTGCGATCTTCCGGAAGACGTTGCCCGCGTTTTAGCGCTCGCGCCGCGGGTTTGTGGGCGGGGCTTAGGGGGGGGTGGGGGCTGTGGGGGATAGTGTGTGGGGGGGGGGAGGGGCTGGGCTATATAAGCTCGGGCGCGTTGCCCCCGCTCCCCTCAGAAGGAGTTGGGGGGTGATGGTGACGGTGGTGACGGTGGTGAAGGTGGTGAGGGTGGTGAGGTTGGTGAGGCGCTTCTGGTGGTGAGGGTGGTGAGGGTGGTGAGGAGCTGGTGGTGGTGGTGGTGAGGGTGGTGAGGGTGATTGATCGTCATGACTCCGTTGTTTACGACGTGAGGGGAAACCCGCGAAAAGCCAATTAATTAGCGTGCTCACTGAGGGAGGGGGGGTTGGTGAGAGAGTTTTTTTTAAAATTATTTTTAAAGTGTGCAGATTTTATTAATTTAATCTTTTTAAACACGAGAAAGGGGGGCTGCTGTGTTGTTTTTTTTTGGGGGGAGGGGGGCTTATTCTACATAATCGATGCGCGTTCGATTAGTTTGTTTGATGGTGGGAGGATACATTTGTTAAACCCCTACACACACCACACGCACCACCACCACCAGTTCCCCTATTGTCTTTAAGAGGCTGTAGGATTGAACCCATATAGATAGTGGGGTTGGGGGAGTGGTGTAAGGGGGAGGGTTATAGGGTCGCATTAAAAAAAAAAATTTAACCTTACATTTTTTAGAAATCGTTCATTCAACATTTTTTTTGCAACCTTAAATTTTTTATAATTCGTTTATTAATCATTTTTTTCACCTTATTATTTTAATAATTCGCTCATTCAACCTTTTTTTGTAACCTTAATTTTTTTTTTTTACAATTCGCTCATTCAAAATTTCGTTTTGCAACCTTAAATTATTTTTTGTTAATATAAATTCCCTCATTCGACCAAAAAAACATTTTTCGCCTTAGTCGTGCGCATTCCCTCCCCCTTCCCCTATGAAATTGTCGCCGAATCTTTTCGCGATTCCACCTTTTCTAATTTTTAATGGACTTTGAAGCAAACGCCTCCACCAAAAATGCCTTCGCCACGTTCAAGAAAGAACCTGCAACCTCCTCAGCCTCCTCCGCCGCCACCGCCTATCGTAAGTTTACATTTTTGGTTATTATTTAAAATAAGAAACTAAAACAAATATTATCCATATCCGATGTTTATTCACGTGAAAGTTTTAATAACAAAAAAATTTGGGATGTTTTTTGCACTCGCTACTAACAGCACTTGCCCCTGCAGCCCTGCTAGAGGCTACCTGGGGTAGCTTTGTCTGTGTGTGGTGTGTGTAGTACATAGACACCGCTGCTACTAACAGCACTTGCCCCTACAGCCCTGCCAGAGGCTACCTGGGGCAGCTTTGTCTGTGTGTGGTGTGTGTAGTACATAGACACTGCTGCTACTAACAGCACTTGCCCCTACAGCCCTGCCAGAGGCTACCTGGGGTAGCTTTGTCTGTGTGCGGTGTGTGTAGTACATAGACACTGCTGCTACTAACAGCACTTGCCCCTACAGCCCTGCTAGAGGCTACCTGGGGGAGCTTTGTCTGTGTGTGGTGTGTGTAGTACATAGACACTGCTGCTACTAACAGCACTTGCCCCTACAGCCCTGCTGGAGGCTACCTGGGGGAGCTTTGTCTGTGTGCGGTGTGTGTAGTACATAGACACTGCTGCTACTAACAGCACTTGCCCCTACAGCCCTGCTAGAGGCTACCTGGGGGAGCTTTGTCCGTGGTGTGTGTTGTCCATGGGGGAGCGGTGGCGCAGTGGTTAGCGCTCCGGTCCAAGTTCGATTCCCGGCCATCAGCACCGGCAGTGATGGCGATTACCAGAACCGGTCCCGGGTCTTCCTCCCCTAGGTCGACTGGGCCTCAAATGAGTTCACATCACGTAGGTTAGACTAATGAATGGATCTAGACCTTTCGATCGCAACGCAAGCGGTGATTGTGTCGTCCTGAAGACGGTTCCGATCGAAACGTCGTGATCCATTAATTTTGTTCTACTCACTTTGACTTCACCGGATAGGATCAAACAGTGGATTCCTTGCAGTCACGAAAGCTTAAAATTCCAGATGGAAGGGAAGTAATAAAATAATAAAAATAAAACACAAAATAATTCTCACGACGTTTCGGCCACAACGCAAGCAGCCGTCCTCAGGTGAAGAATGAAACACCACCAAGCTTGGAGCGTAAGAAAGAACCAGAAGATGAATCCCTGCAGTCACGAAAGCTTTAAATCGAAATTTCAGATGGAGTTCACCTGAAATTTCGATTGAAAGCTTCTTTCGTGACTGCTGCAGGGATTCATCTTCTTGGTTCTTTCGGTAAAGTCATCACGTAGAAGGGAAATAATAAAATAATACAAATTAAACGTAATAAAATACAATTTTATTACGTTATTATGTAGAAGGGAAATAATAAAATAATAAAAATGAAACATAATAAAATAATATAATATTATTCAATTTCGATTTAAAGCTTTCGTGACTGCAGGGATTCATCTTCTTGGTTCTTTCGGTAAAGTCATCACGTAGAAGGGAAATAATAAAATAATAAAAATTAAACATAATAAAATACAATTCTCACGACGTTTCGGCCACAACGCAAGCAGCCGTCCTCAGGTGAAGAACAGGTCTGTCGGAAAGACAGCGTCTGAATGAGCACCACCAAGCTTGGCAGCGTATATTTCAGCTGGGTTGGAGGGGGAAGGGCGCCTTGACAAAGGAATTTGCATATCAACAGATACAGGAGGTCGTGGGTTCGATCCTGGACCCTGTGAGATGTTGACTACCTCGCCTGGTCTACAGGAGGTCGTGGGTTCGATCCTGGACCCTGTAAGATGTTTACTACCTCACCTGGTGTACGGGAGGTCGTGGGTTCGATCCTGGACCCTGTAAGATGTTGACTACCTCTCCTGGTCTACAGGAGGTCGTGGGTTAGATCCTGGACCCTGTAAGATGTTGACTACCTCGCCTGGTGTACAGGAGGTCGTGGGTTAGATCCTGGACCCTGTAAGATGTTGACTACCTCGCCTGGTGTACAGGAGGTCGTGGGTTCGATCCTGGACACTGTAAGATGTTGACTACCTCGCCTGGTCTACAGGAGGTCGTGGGTTCGATCCTGGACCCTGTGAGATGTTGACTACCTCGCCTGGTCTACAGGAGGTCGTGGGTTCAATACTGACCCTGACGTTATGGTGGCTAAGGAGATGTTAACTACCTCGCCTGGTCTACAGGAGGTCGTGGGTTCGATCCTGGACCCTGACATGTCGGCAATGGAGATGTTGACTACCTCGCCTGTTGTACAGGAGGTCGTGGGTTCGATCCTGACCCTGACATGGTGGCTAAGGATATGTTGACTACCTTGCGTGGTGTATAGGAGGTTGTGGGTTCAATCCTGACCCTGACGTCTTTGGCGATGGAGATGTTGACTACCTCGCCTGGTGTACAGGAGGTCGTGGGTTCGATCCTGACATTATGGTGGCTAGGGAGATGTTGACTACCTCGCCTGTTGTACAGGAGGTCGTGGGTTCGTTCCTGACCCTGACGTTACTGTGGCCTTGGGAGACGTTAACTACCTCGCCTGGTGTACAGGAGGTCGTGGGTTCAATCCTGACCCTACAGTGGCCTTGGGAGATGTTGACTACCTCGCCTGGTGTACAGGAGGTCGTGGGTTTAATACTGACGTCATATTAACTAGGGAGATGTTGACTACCTCGCCTGGTGTACAGGAGGTCGTGGGATCGATCCTGACCCTGACGTCACGGTGGTTAGGGAGATGTATGGGTCTCTGTGGGTCTGTATGGGTCTCTGTGGGTCTGTTCCGTATGGGTCTATAGAAACACGTTTTCGAGTATTTGGCTGATAATGATATCGGCCACTGAGAGGCGATCATTTGTAACCGCCAGAGTGGCTTGAAGGGAAAAAAAGTCCATACAGGGACTCCTCTATTTACGTACGAGCTGAGTTCCAGAGGTCTGGTTTCGTACGTTACTCCTGTCGATTCTTAACGTGTTGTACGGCATGTTCACTAAACACTGGGACGGGCTTCAAAAGTTGTAGAATCTCCTGCAGATTTAGATGCCACTGGTTCTTCACGTTCTGTAGATGTAGATGCAACTGGTTCTTCACGTTCTGCAGATGTAGATGCCACTGGTTCTTCACGTTCTATAGATGTAGATGCCACTGGTTCTTCACGTTCTATAGATGTAGATGCCACTGGTTCTTCACGTTCTGCAGATGTATATGCCACTGGTTCTTCACGTTCTGCAGATGTATATGCCACTGGTTCTTCACGTTCTACAGATGTAGATGCCACTGGTTCTTCACGTTCTATAGATGTAGATGCCACTGGTTCTTCACGTTCTGCAGATGTAGATGCCACTGGTTCTTCACGTTGTGTAGATGCCACTGGTTCTTCACGGTCTGTAGATGCCACTGGTTCTGTAGATGCCACTGGTTCTTCACGTTCTGCAGATGTAGATGCCATTGATTTTTCATGTTCTCTAGATGAAGATGCCACTGGTTCTTCACGTTCTGCAGATGTAGATGCCACTGGTTCTTCACGTTCTGCAGATGTAGATGCCACTGGTTCTTCACGGTCTGCAGATGCCACTGGTTCTTCACGTTCTGCAGATGTAGATGCTACTAGTTCTTCACGTTCTGCAGATGTAGATGCCACTGGTTCTTCATGGTCTGTAGATGTAGATGCCACTGGTTCTTCACGTTCTGCAGATGTAGATGCCACTGGTTCTGTAGATGTAGATGCCACTGGTTATGTAGATGCACTGGTTCTTCACGTTCTGTAGATGGAGATGTCACTGGTTCTTCACGTTCTGCAGATGTACATGCCACTAGTTCTGTAGCTGTAGATGCCACTGGGTTTTCACTTTCTGTAGATGTAGATGCCACTGGTTCTGTAGATGCCACTGGTTCTTCTCGTCATGTCAATGCCACTGGTTCTCCATATGTAGATGTCACTGGTTCTTCACGTTCTGCAGATGGAGATGCCATTGGTTCTTCACGATCTGTAGATGCCACTGGTTCTATAGATGTAGATGCCACTGGTTTTGTAGATGCCACTGGTTCTTAACGTTCTGCAGATGTAGATGCCACTGGTTCTGTAGATGCCACTGGTTCTTCACGTTCTGCCGATGTATATGCCACTGGTTCTTCACGGTTTGTAGATGCCACTGGTTCTGTAGATGTAGATGCCAAAGGTTCTTCACGTTATGTAGATGCCTCTGGTTCTTCACGTTCTGCAGATGTACATGTCACTGGTTCTGTAGATGCCACTGGTTCTTCACGTTCTGCAGATGTAGATGCCACTGGTTCTGTAGATGTAGATGCCACTGGTTCTTCACGTTCTGCAGATGTAGATGCCACTGGTTCTTCACGTTATGTAGATGTAGATGCCACTGGTTCTGTAGATGTAGATGCCACTGGTTCTTCACGTTATGTAGATGTAGATGCCACTGGTTCTTCACGTTATGTAGATGCCACTGGTTCTGTAGATGCCACTGGTTCTTCACGTTTTGTAGATGTAGATGCCACTGGTTCTGTAGATGCCACTGGTTCTTCACGTTTTGTAGATGTAGATGCCACTGGTTCTGTAGATGCCACTGGTTCTGTAGATGTCACTGGTTCTCCAGATGTAGATGCCACTGGTTCTACACGTTATGTAGCTGCCACTGGTTCTGTAGATGTAGATGTCACTGGTTCTTCACGTTCTGTAGATGCCACTGGTTCTGTAGATGCCACTGGTTCTGTAGATGCCACTGGTTCTGTAGATGTAGATGCCACTGGTTCTTCACGTTCTGCAGATGCCACTGGTTCTGTAGATGTAGATGCCACTGGTTCTTCACGTTCTGTAGATGTAGATGCCACTGGTTCTGTAGATGTAGATGTCACTGGTTCTTCACGTTCTGCAGATGCCACTGGTTCTGTAGATGTAGATGCCACTGGTTCTTCTCGTTCTGTAGATGTAGATGCCACTGGTTCTTCACGTTATGTAGATGTAGATGCCACTGGTTCTGTAGATGTAGAAGCCACTGGTTCTTCACGTTCTGTAGATGTAGATGCCACTGGTTCTGTAGATGTAGATGCCACTGGTTCTTCACGATATGTAGATGTAGATGCCACTGGTTCTGTAGATGTAGATGTCACTGGTTCTTCACGTTCTGCAGATATAGATGTCACTGGTTTTTCATGTCATGTAGATGCCACTGGTTCTTCACGTTCTGTAGATGTAGATGCCACTGGTTCTTCACGTTCTGTAGATGTAGATGCCACTGGTTATTCACGTTCTGTAGGTGTAGATGCCACTGGTTCTTCACGTTCTGTAGATGCCACTGGTTCTGTAGATGTAGATGTCACTGGTTCTTCACGTTATGTAGATGCCACTGGTTCTGTAGATGTAGATGCCACTGGTTCTTCACGTTTTGTAGATGTAGATGCCACTGGTTCTGTAGATGTAGATGCCACTGGTTCTTCACGTTATGCAGATGTAGATGCCACTGGTTCTTCACGTTTTGTAGATGTAGATGCCACTGGTTCTGTAGATGTAGATGCCACTGGTTCTGTAGATGTAGATGCCGCTGGTTCTTCACGTTTTGTAGATGTAGATGCCACTGGTTCTGTAGATGTAGATGCCACTGGTTCTTCACGTTCTGCAGATGTAGATGCCACTGGTTCTTCACGTTCTGTAGATGTAAATGCCACTAGTTATTCACGTTCTGTAGAAGCCACTGGTTCTTCACGTTCTGTAGATGCCACTGGTTCTGTAGATGTCACTGGTTCTCCAGATGTAGAAGCCACTGGTTCTTCACGTTCTGTAGATGCCACTGGTTCTTCACGTTCTGTAGATGCCACTGGTTCTTCACGTTCTGTAGATGCCACTGGTTCTTCACGTTCTGTAGATGCCACTGGTTCTCCAGATGTAGAAGCCACTGGCTCTTCACGTTCTGTAGAAGCCACTGGCTCTTCACGTTCTTTAGAAGCCACTGGCTCTTCACGTTCTGTAGAAGCCACTGGCTCTTCACGTTCTGTAGATGCCACTGGTTCTTCACGTTCTGTAGATGCCACTGGTTCTTCACGTTCTGTAGATGCCACTGGTTCTGTAGATGTAGATGCCACTGGTTCTTCACGTTCTGTAGATGCCACTGGTTCTGTAGATGTAGATGCCACTGGTTCTTCACGTTCTGTAGATGCCACTGGTTTTTCACGTTCTGTAGATGTCACTGGTTCTTCACGTTCTGTGGATGCCACTGGTTCTTCACGTTCTGTAGATGCCACTGGTTCTGTAGATGTAGATGTCACTGGTTCTTCACGTTCTGTAGATGCCACTGGTTCTGTAGATGCCACTGGTTCTGTAGATGTAGATGCCACTGGTTCTTCACGTTCTGCAGATGCCACTGGTTCTGTAGATGTAGATGCCACTGGTTCTTCACGTTCTGTAGATGTAGATGCCACTGGTTCTGTAGATGTAGATGTCACTGGTTCTTCACGTTCTGCAGATGCCACTGGTTCTGTAGATGTAGATGCCACTGGTTCTTCTCGTTCTGTAGATGTAGATGCCACTGGTTCTTCACGTTATGTAGATGTAGATGCCACTGGTTCTGTAGATGTAGAAGCCACTGGTTCTTCACGTTCTGTAGATGTAGATGCCACTGGTTCTGTAGATGTAGATGCCACTGGTTCTTCACGATATGTAGATGTAGATGCCACTGGTTCTGTAGATGTAGATGCCACTGGTTCTTCACGTTCTGCAGATGCCACTGGTTCTGTAGATGTAGATGTCACTGGTTCTTCACGTTCTGCAGATATAGATGTCACTGGTTTTTCATGTCATGTAGATGCCACTGGTTCTTCACGTTCTGTAGATGTAGATGCCACTGGTTCTTCACGTTCTGTAGATGTAGATGCCACTGGTTATTCACGTTCTGTAGGTGTAGATGCCACTGGTTCTTCACGTTCTGTAGATGCCACTGGTTCTGTAGATGTAGATGTCACTGGTTCTTCACGTTATGTAGATGCCACTGGTTCTGTAGATGTAGATGCCACTGGTTCTTCACGTTTTGTAGATGTAGATGCCACTGGTTCTGTAGATGTAGATGCCACTGGTTCTTCACGTTATGCAGATGTAGATGCCACTGGTTCTTCACGTTTTGTAGATGTAGATGCCACTGGTTCTGTAGATGTAGATGCCACTGGTTCTGTAGATGTAGATGCCACTGGTTCTTCACGTTTTGTAGATGTAGATGCCACTGGTTCTGTAGATGTAGATGCCACTGGTTCTTCACGTTCTGCAGATGTAGATGCCACTGGTTCTTCACGTTCTGTAGATGTAAATGCCACTAGTTATTCACGTTCTGTAGAAGCCACTGGTTCTTCACGTTCTGTAGATGCCACTGGTTCTGTAGATGTCACTGGTTCTCCAGATGTAGAAGCCACTGGTTCTTCACGTTCTGTAGATGCCACTGGTTCTTCACGTTCTGTAGATGCCACTGGTTCTCTAGATGTCACTGGTTCTCCAGATGTAGAAGCCACTGGCTCTTCACGTTCTGTAGAAGCCACTGGCTCTTCACGTTCTGTAGAAGCCACTGGCTCTTCACGTTCTGTAGAAGCCACTGGCTCTTCACGTTCTGTAGATGCCACTGGTTCTTCACGTTCTGTAGATGCCACTGGTTCTTCACGTTCTGTAGATGCCACTGGTTCTGTAGATGTAGATGCCACTGGTTCTTCACGTTCTGTAGATGCCACTGGTTCTGTAGATGTAGATGCCACTGGTTCTTCACGTTCTGTAGATGCCACTGGTTTTTCACGTTCTGTAGATGCCACTGGTTCTTCACGTTCTGTGGATGCCACTGGTTCTTCACGTTCTGTAGATGCCACTGGTTCTGTAGATGTAGATGTCACTGGTTCTTCACGTTCTGTAGATGCCACTGGTTCTGTAGATGCCACTGGTTCTGTAGATGTAGATGCCACTGGTTCTTCACGTTCTGCAGATGCCACTGGTTCTGTAGATGTAGATGCCACTGGTTCTTCACGTTCTGTAGATGTAGATGCCACTGGTTCTGTAGATGTAGATGTCACTGGTTCTTCACGTTCTGCAGATGCCACTGGTTCTGTAGATGTAGATGCCACTGGTTCTTCTCGTTCTGTAGATGTAGATGCCACTGGTTCTTCACGTTATGTAGATGTAGATGCCACTGGTTCTGTAGATGTAGAAGCCACTGGTTCTTCACGTTCTGTAGATGTAGATGCCACTGGTTCTTCACGATATGTAGATGTAGATGCCACTGGTTCTGTAGATGTAGATGCCACTGGTTCTTCACGTTCTGCAGATGCCACTGGTTCTGTAGATGTAGATGTCACTGGTTCTTCACGTTCTGCAGATATAGATGTCACTGGTTTTTCATGTCATGTAGATGCCACTGGTTCTTCACGTTCTGTAGATGTAGATGCCACTGGTTCTTCACGTTCTGTAGATGTAGATGCCACTGGTTATTCACGTTCTGTAGGTGTCGATGCCACTGGTTCTTCACGTTCTGTAGATGCCACTGGTTCTGTAGATGTAGATGTCACTGGTTCTTCACGTTATGTAGATGCCACTGGTTCTGTAGATGTAGATGCCACTGGTTCTTCACGTTTTGTAGATGTAGATGCCACTGGTTCTGTAGATGTAGATGCCACTGGTTCTTCACGTTATGCAGATGTAGATGCCACTGGTTCTGTAGATGTAGATGCCACTGGTTCTTCACGTTTTGTAGATGTAGATGCCACTGGTTCTGTAGATGTAGATGCCACTGGTTCTGTAGATGTAGATGCCACTGGTTCTTCACGTTTTGTAGATGTAGATGCCACTGGTTCTGTAGATGTAGATGCCACTGGTTCTTCACGTTCTGCAGATGTAGATGCCACTGGTTCTTCACGTTCTGTAGATGTAAATGCCACTAGTTATTCACGTTCTGTAGAAGCCACTGGTTCTTCACGTTCTGTAGATGCCACTGGTTCTGTAGATGTCACTGGTTCTCCAGATGTAGAAGCCACTGGTTCTTCACGTTCTGTAGATGCCACTGGTTCTTCACGTTCTGTAGATGCCACTGGTTCTTCACGTTCTGTAGATGCCACTGGTTCTGTAGATGTCACTGGTTCTCCAGATGTAGAAGCCACTGGCTCTTCACGTTCTGTAGATGCCACTGGCTCTTCACGTTCTGTAGATGCCACTGGTTCTTCACGTTCTGTAGATGCCACTGGTTCTTCACGTTCTGTAGATGCCACTGGTTCTGTAGATGTAGATGCCACTGGTTCTTCACGTTCTGTAGATGCCACTGGTTCTGTAGATGTAGATGCCACTGGTTCTTCACGTTCTGTAGATGCCACTGGTTTTTCACGTTCTGTAGATGCCACTGGTTCTTAACGTTCTGTAGATGCCACTGGTTCTTCACGTTCTGTAGATGCCACTGGTTCTGTAGATGTAGATGCCACTGGTTCTTCACGTTCTGTAGATGCCACTGGTTCTGTAGATGTAGATGCCACTGGTTCTTCACGTTATGTAGATGCCACTGGTTCTGTAGATGTAGATGCCACTGGTTCTTCACGTTCTGTAGATGTCACTGGTTCTGTAGATGTAGATGCCACTGGTTTTTCACGTTCTGTAGATGTAACTGGTTCTCCAGATGTAGATGCCACTGGTTCTCCAGACGTAGATGACACTGGTTCTTCACGTTTTGTAGATGTAGATGCCACTGGTTCTGTAGATGTAGATGCCACTGGTTCTTCACGTTCTGTAGATGCCACTGGTTCTGTAGATGTCAATGCCACTGGTTCTTCACGTTCTGTAGATGTCACTGGTTCTCCAGATGTAGATGCCACTGGTTCTCCAGATGTAGATGCCACCACCGCCATCTGCTGAACGGGACGGCTGATCTTGGGACTCTGGGACCGTCCAGGCAACGGGACCGATACGGGGGGGGGACCAGCTTTGTGGAAAGTTCGCCAGTCGGAGTGGCCCCGGGTACAGCCGTGGCTTTGCCTGGGCGCTCTAAACACCCTCTTCAATTACATGTGAAGCTGCTTGTGGTTCTAGCCGGTTCGTAGTTCTAACCACTGCGCGCACACACATACATACACCAACACACACACGCAACACACACACGCAACACACACACGCAACACACACACGCAACACACACACGCAACACACACACGCAACACACACACGCAACACACACACGCAACACACACACGCAACACACACACGCAACACACACACGCAACACACACAACACACAAACACAACACACCCACACACAACACACGCAACACGCACACGCCACACACACACAACACACACAACACACACACACACAACCCACACACACACATTTCGATTTCGATTTTGAAATCGATCAATCGTTCAGCCCTGCCGCAAACCTGGCCGCCCAAGTTCGATTCCCGCTCGCGGTGTGTGTGTGAGGAGCATACCTGCTAGAGGCTACCTGGGGGAGCTTTGTCTGTGTGTGGTGTGTGTAGTACATAGACACTGCTGCTGCTACTAACAGCACTTGCCCCTACAGCCCTGCTAGAGGCTACCTGGGGGAGCTTTGTCTGTGTGTGGTGTGTGTAGTACATAGACACTGCTGCTGCTACTAACAGCACTTGCCCCTACAGCCCTGCTAGAGGCTACCTGGGGGAGCTTTGTCTGTGTGGTGTGTAGTACATAGACACTGCTGCTACTAGCAGCACTTGCCCCTACAGCCCTGCTAGAGGCTACCTGGGGTAGCTGTGTCTGTGTGTGGTGTGTGTAGTACATAGACACTGCTGCTACTCGCTACTAGCAGCACTTGCCCCTACAGCCCTGCTAGAGGCTACCTGGGGTAGCTTTGTGTGTGGTGTGTGTAGTGCATAGACACTGCTGCTAGCACTTGCCCCTACAGCCCTGCTAGAGGCTACCTGGGGTAGCTTTGTGTGTGGTGTGTGTAGTACATAGACACTGCTGCTGCTACTAACAGCACTTGCCCCTACAGCCCTGCTAGAGGCTACCTGGGGGGTCTTTGTCTCTGTTGTGTGCATAAATCATTTACGCTCTTATCTGTGGCCAGGAGATGAGCCGCCCAGCCCCCTGTTGTGTGCATAACCGCGTGCTATAGGCTTGCTGCTGTGAGGGGGCAGGGTGAGCTGCGTGGTACAGTACGGTACTGTACCTCTATGCTCCCACGTGTTGCCTCCTCCCCCCAAGACAAAGCTCCACCGTGTAGCCTCCAGCAGGCCGGGGTGGGGGTGGGGAGGGGAGATGGTGGTGGTGTGGGAGGTGGTGGTGAGGGGAGATGGTGTGTGGAGGGTGGTGGTGGGTGGGTGAAGGGTGGTGGTGGTGGGTGGTGGTGGAGGTGTGGGAGGTGGTGGTGGTGTGGGAGGTGGTGGTGAGGGGAGATGGTGTGTGGAGGGTGGTGGTGGGTGGGTGGAGGGTGGGTGGGTGGAGGGTGGTGGGTGGTTGAAGGAGGGTGGTGGTGGAGGTGTGGGTGGTGGTGGAGGTGTGGGAGGTGGTGGTGGTGTGGGAGGTGGTGGTGGGTGGGTGGGTGGTGGAGGGTGGTGGTGGTGGGTGAAGGGTGGTGGGTGGTTGAAGGAGGGTGGTGGTGGTGGTGGTGGAGGTGTGGGTGGTGGTGGAGGTGTGGTGGGTGGAGGAGGGTGGTGGGTGGGTGGAGGAGGGTGGTGGGTGGTGGGTGAAGGGTGGTGGTGGGTGGAGATGGTGTGTGGAGGTAGGTGGAGGTGGTGGGTGGGTGGGTGGGTGAAGGGTGGTGGTGGGTGGAGATGGAGGGTGGTGGTGGGTGGAGATGGAGGGTGGTGGTGGGTGGAGATGGAGGGTGGTGGTGGGTGGAGATTGTGTGTGGGGATGGGTGGAGGAGGTTGGTGGTGGTGGTGGGTGAAGGGTGGTGGGTGTTTGAAGGAGGGTGGTGGTGGAGGTGTGGGTGGTGGTGGTGGTGTGGGAGGTGGTGGTGGTGTGGGAGGTGGTGGTGGTGTGGGAGGTGGTGGTGGGTGAAGGGTGGTGGGTGTTTGAAGGAGGGTGGTGGTGGAGGTGTGGGTGGTGGTGGTGGTGTGGGAGGTGGTGGTGGTGGGTGGGTGAAGGGTGGTGGTGTGGGAGGTGGTGGTGGTGTGGGAGGTGGTGGTGGTGTGGGAGGTGGTGGTGGTGGGTGGGTGAAGGGTGGTGGTGTGTGGAGGTGGTGGGTGGGTGGGTGGAGATGGTGTGTGGAGGTGGTGAGTGGGTGGAGGAGGGTGGTGGAGGGTGAAGGGTGGTGGATGGGTAAAGGAGGGTGGTGGTGGGTGGTTGGGTGGAGGGTGGTGGTGGAGGGTGGTGGTGGTGGATGAAGGAGGGTGGTGGGTGGAGGGTGGAGGGTGATGGTGAGTGGGGGAGGAGGAGAGTGATGTGGGAGGTGGTGGTAGAGGTTGTGGTGGTGGTGGGTGGAGTGGCGTTGGAAATGATGGTGGGTGGTGATAGGGGAGGTGGTGTGGCATTGTGGTGGTGGTCGTGGTGTGTCATGGTGGAGGTGGTGGTGTGTCATGGTGGTGGTGGTGGTGGTGGTGGTGTGGGGAGGTGGTGGTGGTGTGGCATTGTGGTGGTGGTGTGGCATTGTGGTGGTGGTGTGGCATTGTGGTGGTGGTGTGGCATTGTGGTGTGGCATTGTGGTGGTGGTGTGGCATTGTGGTGGTGGTGTGGCATTGTGGTGGTGGCGTGGCATTGTGGTGGTGGCGTGGCATTGTGGTGGTGGTGTGGCATGGTGGTGTTGCATGGTGGAGGTGGTGGTGGTGGTGGTGTGGCATGGTGGAGGTTGAACGCGACACGTGTGTGTGTGTGTGTACGTGCAGAGTGTCCGTGTGGTGATGAAGAAGAAAGGGCTTGGCGAGGCAGACTCGTCTCCCGGCTACGCGCCACTGCGTTACACGGGGTGATGGGGGTGGTGGTGGTGGTGATGGGGGTGATGGGGGTGGTGGGGGTAATGGTGATGATGGGGGTAATGGTGATGATGGGGGTAATGGTGATGATGGGGGTGATGGGGGTGGTGATGGGGGTGATGGTGGTGATGGGGGTGATGGGGGTGGTGGTGGTGATGGGGGTGATGGGGGTGGTGGTGGTGATGGGGGTGATGGGGGTGGTGGTGGTGATGGGGGTGATGGGGGTGGTGGTGGTGATGGGGGTGATGGGGGTGGTGGGGGTGATGGGGGTGGTGGTGGTGGTGGTGGTGGTGATGGGGGTGATGGGGGTGATGGGGGTGGTGGTGGTGGTGGTGGTGATGGGGGTGGTGGTGGTGATGGGGGTAATGGTGATGATGGTGGTGATGGGGGTGGTGGTGATGATGGTGGTGATGGGGGTAATGGTGATGATGGGGGTGATGGGGGTGATGGTGGTGATGGGGGTAATGGTGATGATGGGGGTGATGGGGTTGGTGGGGGTGATGGTGATGGGGGTGGGGGTGGGGATGGGGATGGGGGTGGTGGTGGTGATGGGGGTGATGGTGATGATGGGGGTGATGGTGATGATGGGGTTGGTGGTGGTGATGGGGGTGGTGGTGGTGATGGGGGTGGGGATGGTGGTGGTGATGGGGGGTAATGGGGGTGGGGGTGATGGGGGTGATGGTGATGGGGTTGGTGGTGGTAATGGGGTTGGGGGTAATGGGGGTGGTGATGGTGATGGTGATGGGGGTGGTGATGGTAATGGGGGATGGGGGTGATTGTGGTAGCTGCACCATTTTGAATTTGTACTCCACGCGTAAACAGCGTGGGGGAGGGGGAGGAGGAGGTGGTGGTGGTGGTGGCAGAGGAGGTGGTGGTGGTGGTGGCACAGGAGGTGGTGGTGGTGGTGGCAGAGGAGGTGGTGGTGGTGGTGGCAGAGGAGGTGGTGGTGGTGGTGGCAGAGGAGGTGGTGGTGGTGGTGGCAGAGGAGGTGGTGGTGGTGGTGGCAGAGGAGGTGGTGGTGGTGGTGGCAGAGGAGGTGGTGGTGGTGGTGGCAGAGGAGGTGGTGGTGGTGGTGGCAGAGGAGGTGGTGGTGGTGGTGGCAGAGGAGGTGGTGGTGGTGGTGGCAGAGGAGGTGGTGGTGGTGGTGGCAGAGGAGGTGGTGGTGGTGGTGGCAGAGGAGGTGGTGGTGGTGGTGGCAGAGGTGGTGGTGGTGGTGGTGGCAGAGGTGGTGGTGGTGGTGGTGGCAGAGGTGGTGGTGGTGGTGGTGGCAGAGGTGGTGGTGGTGGTGGTGGCAGAGGTGGTGGTGGTGGTGGTGGCAGAGGTGGTGGTGGTGGTGGTGGCAGAGGTGGTGGTGGTGGTGGGCAGAGGTGGTGGTGGTGGCAGAGGTGGTGGTGGCAGAGGTGGTGGTGGTGGCAGAGGTGGTGGTGGTGGCAGAGGTGGTGGTGGTGGCAGAGGTGGTGGTGGTGGCAGAGGTGGTGGTGGTGGCAGAGGTGGTGGTGGTGGCAGAGGTGGTGGTGGTGGCAGAGGTGGTGGTGGTGGCAGAGGTGGTGGTGGTGGCAGAGGTGGTGGTGGTGGCAGAGGTGGTGGTGGTGGCAGAGGTGGTGGTGGGGCAGAGGTGGTGGTGGGTGGTGGTGGTGGTGGCAGAGGTGGTGGTGGGGTGGTGGTGGTGGCAGAGGTGGTGGTGGTGGCAGAGGTGGTGGTGGTGGCAGAGGTGGTGGTGGTGGCAGAGGAGGTGGTGGCAGAGGAGGTGGTGGCAGAGGAGGTGGTGGCAGAGGAGGTGGTGGCAGAGGAGGTGGTGGCAGAGGAGGTGGTGGCAGAGGAGGTGGTGGCAGAGGAGGTGGTGGTAGCAGTGGTGGTGGTGGCAGAGGTGGTGGTGGTGGCGGTGGCAGAGGTGGTGGCGGTGGCAGAGGTGGTGGTGGTGGTGGTGGTGGTGGCAGAGGTGGTGGTGGTGGTGGCGGAGGTGGTGGTGGAGGTGGTGGAGGTGGTGGAGGTGGTGGAGGTGGTGGAGGTGGTGGTGATTGTGGTGATTGTGGTGATTGTGGTGGAGATAGAGATGGTGGTGGTGGTGGTAGAGGAGGAGGTGGAGGAGATGGTGGTGGTGGTGGTGGTGGTAGAGGAGGAGGTGGAGATGGTGGTGGTGGTGGAGATGGTGGTGGTGGTGGAGATGGTGGTGGTGGTGGAGATGGTGGTGGTGGTGGAGATGGTGGTGGTGGTGGAGATGGTGGTGGTGGTGGAGATGGTGGTGGTGGTGGAGATGGTGGTGGTGGTGGTGGAGGAGGTGACCATGGTCGAGATGGTGGTGGTGGTGGAGATGGTGGAGGAGGTGACGACGATGAGGGTGATCCCTGCCCAGTTCCGGCCCAGCCTCTGGCTCGAGTCACCCATGCCTCTGTGACCCCCCCACCCCCCACCACCCCCCACCCCTCGTGTTGCTGGGGTTGGTGGGACTCTGATTGATGGCAGGAATGCGGCATGCGGGTCGGGAGGGAGGGAGGGAGGGAGGGGGGTGGTGATGGTGGAATTTTAATTTGCATTTCCACCAGCAATTAGCGAGCACACAGACGCGCATATGCGCATACACACACACGCACACACAGACAAAGATCCCCCGTGTAGCCTTAACAGACTGTAGGGGCAAGTGCTGTTAGTAGCAGCAGCAGTGTCTATGTACTACACACACACACGCACACACAGACAAAGATCCCCCGTGTAGCCTTAACAGACTGTAGGGGCAAGTGCTGTTAGTAGCAGCAGCAGTGTCTATGTACTACACACACACGCACACACAGACAAAGATCCCCCGTGTATCCTTAACAGACTGTAGGG